CTTTTTTCTTTTTGCTTATGTGGTGCTGAGGAATCGAACCCAGGGCCTCAGGCATGCAAGGCAAGTGCTCTACCACTGAGCCACCTTCCCAGCCCTCCAAGAGATTCTTATCCCCAATGGAAGTGGTGCTATGACTCAAAGTGGTAGAGCACTAACCTTGAGTGAAAAGGCTCAGGAACAGTACTGAGACCCTGAGTTCAAGCCCCGCGACTGACCAAAACACAAAAATGAAAAGAAATACATGTTAAAAAGCAGACAAGACAACCAACCTTAAGGCTTGTGGAAACTTTATTTCCCCACATAGAAGGTTCCTTCTCCCCTCCTCCCCCCGTACTTATAAGAGAAATATCTCACAGAAATCTGCACTTCAAATATGATGCTCGATGAATATGCACTGAGTTAAACACAACTGTATTTAACTGTGCTCCCGGCCTCCATGCAAGGTCTCCCAGCCCTCCACACACACTGCCTCCCACAGACAGCCTTAGAAAGACGGTGTAATTAGGGCTTCAGTATGAGGAGCACCAGGCTCGACCATGTGGGGGGCCCTCAAGGTGGGGTGCCCCACAAAGCTTCTCCCACTTGACAGCGTCGATGGCTAAATGGCCTTTTTCACACCCCAGGCATTTGGAAGCCCTGCAATTTTGCCTCTCTGGCAACCTGCAATTTTTCGTTTGTTTGTATTTACCGAGTAATTCTGGCAAAAAGGGGGTGGAGCTCCAGTGCATCCTCAGCTGCCACCTTCTCCTCCTCCTGGCCAGGCTCCTGCCTTAGTGTCAAACCTCTGCCCCCAGCAGCAGAACAGTGTGAAAACACCACACACCCACCTCCGATCTGGAGGAAGTACAGTCATTCCTGGCCGCCCATCCCTGCGGTCCTTTCCAGCCGCTTTCCTCTGACTCTACCCCTTCTAGAGTCTTTAACCTCCATCAGCTGGGTCTCAACCACTCCCTGCTCACTAACCACAGATCCCGTGCCCTGAGGGGTCTCCCAGCCAGCACCTGTTCCTCCCTTGATGAGGACTGTTTAGTATGCAGCAGCTACTGAGAATATGAAAGTGTGTGAGGCAGTCAGGCTGGTAGTGGTTCAGAGGCAGATAACCATTAGCCATAAGACACGGTGACAGGAGCAGCGGAGAGGTGAGGAGCCTGTCTTCTCCTACCTGGATACAAAGGGTAATAATGTGCATTCTCCACCCACCCCGAGTGTCCCCTGGGCTCCCCGGATCCCCAACACTTGCAACACCCTCTCCAATCTGCTGTGACCACTGAGAGCTTCTGCCCCTCTGAGCACTGCACTCAGCAGGAGCATGGAATGTGTGCTCATGCCTGCTTTAGGCCTAATTTTTACTATGGTGTTAGATGCCCATAGGTGAAATGGTCACATTCATCAATTAATGGTAACACTCATCAATGAATGATCTCTCCCGTGTTTTTCCATGTATTGCGTCCACACCAGGTCCTCTCCTGGGTGCTGCAGACACAGAATTTAGGAGATGACAGGCCTGGCGAGTCCCCTCATCTACAATAAAGGAGGGGAAATGACATGCCTGCGAGCAGACCACGTGTCCTGGCCTTGAGGGCTCTGTGCTGGGGCAAGCCCGGAGGGCTGCTGGGGGGTAATATTGGAGCAGATCTGCAGCAAGGGGTTGCCTGGACCAGGGAAATATCTAGAAGAATGAGTTCTACATGGAGCAAACAGCAAAAGACATGGAGCAGGACTCTAGGCCAAAGCCTTCAGGAAGAGTGAGGTGGCTGGAGTGGGCAGAGCGGGAGGCAGTGGTGCTTTCCACGTAGTCACAGGCAAGATGGAGAGGAGGAAGACTTTGAGCCAGGGACAAAGGAAGTCCCTGAGCATTGTGCAACAGGTACTGAGACCAGGAAGGTCAAGTGGATGATGGGTGTCCAGGAAAGGGACCGTGAGAAACCTCTGTACGGCAGCTAATGGCTCTTGACTTTATCCCAAAGAGGAAAAAAAGCAGCTGATAATTTTCTGATTCACAAGGCAGAGATGTACATGGTTCTTAAAAGTCAGACGCATTCTGTATGTGACAGAACACCTCCTTTTGCCCCTCCTGCCTATCTCTCCTTATCTCTCCTCCTTCACTCTCCATCTCTCTTTTTCAGTATCTCTCTCTGTCTCTGTTTCTCTCTTACACACACACATACTATACATACACAAACACACTATACACAGAATAATACTTTCCTGGAAATACCCTTTTCCTTCATTTTTCAACCAAAAATATTCCCATAACCTAATGTATTATATTTATCTATGCTCTCATTTATTTGTTTACTTAATGATTTCTTCACTTAATTCACATTTACATAAGCCAGACCCATAGCAAAGTAAAGTTTTATTCAAGAAAGAAAGACAACTTGGACAAGTCAAATAAAGGGCGACCGTTTGCCTCGGGGCAATTGACACAATAATATTCTACCTGTGTCTCTAAATCTCTTTAACTGTAAAAGCATTTTCTTTAGGGCAGATATGCTAATTATAATTCTTGAAGGTTATTTACAAATTTCAGTGCAGAATTAATCACTGCAGTTCATGCTCTAAGCCTGCTAATTAGAAACAAGTAATGCTTCTGATCTTCATCTATCAGATCAAATGCTGCAAGTGGGCATGGAGGCCTTAGCGGGCTCTCTGTCTGGTGGGTGTCCTACCCACTGGTAATGGTGGTGCCCTGGTCAGGGTTCTTACCAGGTGGAGGAGGGACCCTCCTGAGAAGCCCACAGCGTGTGGATCCGCACCTTCCTTCAGCAGCCGGAGAACTGCAAAACAAGAGAGAATATGGGGTTGAGGCCAGACTTTTCCATGTCCTGACCCCAAGTGACAGCTTTTCATTAACCCCTAACACATACACAGGAAAGGGGTGGGAGCTGCCATCAGATCTTCCTCATGTCTTTACAGAGCAGTGTTTTCATGTTCCACCTGTTTCTTATCTTGTAAGGGACACTGATTCAATGCATCCTCTTTAGAACACACATTCATACATACATACATACACACACACACACACACACATGCACACACACACACACACACACACACGCACACACACACACACACACACACACACACACACAGAAAAAAGAAAATGAACCGTCTCCTGAGAACATCATTAAATGGTCATTGAATTTTTGCCTTTCAACTCGTTAGTAACTACTGGTGTAGAAACAAAAAAAAAAATTACATTTCGCAATCTGTTTTTCCCCTGGAGCCTTAGGTTCTTGACAATTTTTCTATCATCCTCAGAAAGTGTATGTGTATGTGTGTGTGTGTGTGTGTGTGTTTGCATGTGTGCACCAATAGTGGAACATGAACTCAGGGTCCCTGAGGTTTTCTTGCTCAAGCTAGCACCTGTACCAATTAAGACACACCTCCACTTCCAGCTTTTTGCTGGTAAATTAGAGACAAGAGTCTCGAGTACTTTTGTGTTGGGCTGGTTTTGCACCACGAGTCTCAGAACTCAACCTTCTGAGCAGCTAGGATCTAGGTGTGAGCTACTAGCTCTTAGCATACAAGGAATTTCTGTACAAAGCTATGTATATCACCTTGATGAGAATACATACCAATGACCAGAATATGCTCAGAGCTGACAGAAGACCTAGGTTTGAATGTTAAAAGTGAACTTATCAAGACACGTAATAGTCATAGTTTCATGACAACGCTGGCTCTTATGTTCACAGATATTCCATTTAACAACGAAGAAAAAGTTAAAGTGAAACAAAGAAAATCAAAAGTTCTAAATTGTGTTCCAGTTTTTAGGTCCAAGAAATACATGTTTTCCATGTGATTATCTACTTTGAATACCATGTTTTCATTTACTTTTCTTCTGTTAATTTGCTTGTGTCATCCTTCATTCCTCATTTTAGTAACTGAAGTTGTACTAGTTTTGTTTATTATTTTTAGAAACAACATTAATGTTAATTATTTTGAGAGTCACCTTTTGATTTCATTCATTTTGGTCTTGCTTTCCTCTATATTCCTCTTATTTCCACTCATTTTTGTTTACTCATTTTTTTCTCTCTTTCAAATGAGTGGATAGGTTTTTCATTACAGATTCTTTTAAGATAGGTGTTTATAACTAAGGATTTGGGATATATGTGTGTGTGTGTGTGTGTGTGTGTGTGTGTGTGTGTGTGTGTGTGTGTGTAGTGCAAGTGCCCAATTTCTATCAATTGTAAAAGATGACCATTCCGGTAGAGAATTTTGACAGCAGGAAAACTCAGAGATCAGATTCAGTGCCCCTCCAAGACCTTGTTTTATTACTGCTTGTAATTACATTTGTTTGTGTCATTATTTTCTTGCACTGAAACTTGAAGATCTGCATACTTTAGAATGTACGGCCCATTGAAATCTCTGCTCAGTGAGTTGTCATAGTGGTCTGCTTATGACTGAACTTATTTTCTCAAATGAGAACTGTTTCTCCCCAAGTTATTTCTACATTAGCTCTGGGCAGTCTTTTAGTGCAGTGGTAGTTAGTTTGTGGTTCATATTTCCTCACTGTGAATACATTCATTCTGATTATACAAACACAGGTTAGACCCAGGCAAGAGGTCAGAGTTTTCGGAGTGCTTTTATGAGCATGCACACACACAGCCAGCCTTCTGTATTTCAAGGGTTCTTCAGCCCTTCACATAGGACCCATGGGACTCCTGTCTATCATCTTCTCATCCGTGATGTGACTCGGCCACATCTTGTGGATCACAGCCAGGATCACAGCTTGAGGCAGATGCAATGCTGAACATGCACTTCTGGACCCTTGTTTCTTTTTGTAAATGCCCCCAGAGAAAACATTTGCAGTGAACTTATTCTAAATCAGGTCAAACAAATCCAAGGTGTGTGGGTAGGAGTTTCCAGGGAACTTCCAGACAGATAAAACATGGCAATTCCCTGGGGGGCAGCTCCACAGCTGCTCTCTCCCACCATGCCTCTGGGATTGCTGATGCTATCAGGACTACCATGTTTGCATGGCTGCTGATTCTCTGGGCTGTGAAGGGGGAGACGCATGAGGAGGGGTGTGACCAGGAAGCTCAATTTTCTTGCTGGGATTTGACCCTCTCTGATGGCTCAGTGTTCCTCAGATCACTGCCAACCTTGGTTTTAAATCCCCAGAATTCCTAAAAACAGTCCAGCTGATTCCACATTTCACACCGCTGGTGTTCAGGATACTTCCTGTGTCCTTTCTTTGCAGTCTCAATGGTGGTATCTCTCACACATTTTAAAGATGACAGAAAAGTTTCAAAGAATATTTACTACCCTTGGAGAATAGAAATGAATCACTTCACATTAGTTTGAATAATGATAATGATGACTGCTTTTTGCTAAATCTTAAAATGCCAATGTTTTATTAGATAAAAAGATCACTTTAAAGTCTAATGTCATACTAACCCATGCTACAGAATCTCTAGTGTATTCTCTCTCTCTCTCTCTCTCTCTCTCTCTTTCTCTCTCTCTCAGAGAATTTTGTGGGAATTGGGAATGGCCTGCTTACTAAAACAAGTCCTCCTCCAACAACTCCTTAGATATTCCAGAACAGACTCAAAGTGACAGCTTTATAATGGTATATATTTAACCCCCTGCATCTTCAGTGCTTGCTGTGGGAATAGTAAAACTGGAATATATGCAATCTAAACACATGTTTTAGTCTTTCTTTTTTATACATATGATCCACTGCCAAATGCTATTCCATATATTAAAAATGCTCTGTGGCCAAGTGGTAGAAAGTGCCTGAGATTCAAAAGAATTTACAAATAAAGGGATCAGACTGTATTCTATTTACATATTTTGTTAGTAAATACAAAAATGGGCAACAATCACATACATATTTGTGAAAACAAATGAGTTCTACTTGAATTATGAATCTACACATAGACATGCACACATATTACCTTGGACATTTACTTTATGGTATATAGTCTCTATAGAGTCTCTCCCATATATAATGTTTTAAATGTAAGGCAGAGGAGAGTATGTCTGCTAACAATTCACTGGAGATAGAAAAGAATACATTTCAATAACGACAGATGCCGTTATTGTATTCTCTGACTCTCCACCCTCATTTGTGAAACTGTGGCAATGCTGCAGCAGTATAGACAAAGATAAAGAACTATATATAGGCTCTGAGTAATTACCACTTAGTTATATTAGGGGTCATGGAGGTGTTAGATGAGGAAGAAAGTATCTTACAAAGGTGAGAGCCAGTGATGAAGTAGCTTTAGAAAGAAGCTTTGGTTACACTAGTCTCTGATTCCTTTGTGCCTTTGAAATGTGGCTTTCAGACTTTATCTGAAGAGTGCCTTTATAGATTCTAATTCACCCTCCAGTTTTATCATGTTTTTCCTTTTATCTCAGTTGGTTCTGTGATGTGTTTACTTGGTCAGGTTTTAATTAATCAGAGCAGGTGTTTACTTATCCTGTGTTTTGTAGGGTTTGGGAAAGATCCACACAATTGCAAATTTTGTCAGCTCTCAGGAATAAGATTCAATCACAAAATGAATACTTGGGGCAACATTTCTGGAGACAGAACTCCAGTGTCGATTTTCACCTATCACTTTCTGTAATAACTACAGTAGACATCAATGCTCACCTCTTCGGTGAAGACCCCCCCCTGCACAACTCCTATTATTACTCTCTGAACACTCACTGACACAAAGATACCTGCGAGAGATCACTCTACAGAGGTAGAAAGCAGGAAAAGAGAGAACAGAGTTAGAATGCTCACTCGAGGGTACAAGGCCTATCAAGTAGCAGATTTCCCACATGCTCCCTTGTTCCTATATTTTATATCCAGCCACACTGTGAAATTTTTCACCTTGATTCTGCGGGATTCTGTTTTAAATTGTATGTCCTTTCTGAAGCCTGAGTTGGTTTATGAATCTGTAACAAAAACCTCCTGGCTCTGGCAGTTCAGCTGGAGTTCCGGAATAATCCCCACACACCCAGAAGAGTGTGGTGGTTAAAGAAGACATCATGAATACAGCTGAGAAACAGGTGCGGGCCAGTAATGCCCAAAGTGCCTGGTACTGCTCCTACATGGTAAGGAAGGTATGAAGGAGCGGGTATGAAGGTATGAAGGTCTGGATGGTGTCAGCCTGTGTCTGTTGCTCTTGAATAGTGATCCTCAGAGCTTGGCTAACCAAGGCCTTGACTTTGCTCACTGGTCTGCGGCTTGACAAGAGCTCCTTTAAACAGTCCCCACGGAGGTTTCCTGAGGAATACCATCAAATAATGGATGGAGTAGTCACTCTGAATGCTTTCAGTCACAGGTAGGCACCTGGGCTGAGAAGGCTTAGGAGCTGGAAAAGCTGGGGCCCTGAGAACTTTCTTAATGCCTAAGCTATGGTCTTCTCTAGTCACTCAGAGCTTAGAGAGAGAAAATGTCCCCATTTTTAATTAAGTCTCAAACAAAGATGGCATCTACTGGCTGCATTGCATTTTAGAAGAACACCACAATTGCTCATCTATGTTCACTGGGAGAGTTGTAAAGCCTGAATGGAAGAGGTAACCAAGACTAGAGGTGTTGGCCTTTGAAAGGTCGTTGTCTTGGATTGCTACAGTTAGAGAGCCACACAGATTGGTCTTGTCCTGCTTACATAGTACAGGGCTTCATGAGCAAGAGGGGCTTCCTGGTACCTGGGAAGTGCCCAGGATAAGAAAGCAAATGATAAAAATGAAATAAAAGCTGGGTGCCAGTGGCTCACACCTGTAATCCTAGCTACTCAGGAGGCTGAGATCTGAGGATCACAGTTCAAAGCCAGCCCAGGCA